TATATATATATCGCTATTGTTGCTGTTATTACTTTTATTACTACTGTTATTATAAACAAGTTTTTCACGCAAATCCTGGTTTTCAGGTCTTTGACCTCCTTTCTCTCATAAGAACTAAGTCACAACGCCATATTGGCCTTCTTGAGGTCACTGGAATGTCAAAATGTTAATCTCAGCAAACTACAAACAGTGAAAAAAAAAGTTTTTAAAGAAACTCGCTTAAAGTTCAAACGTCTCCGTCCTGGCGTGGGCGGGGGTGGTGGCTCTCTGTGATCTGCTCGTCTGTTCTCACGTTGTCTCCATTCTGATAACATTTCCCCCACAGAATAAGGAGAGGGACAAGAGGTGGTGTCAGCATTTTCCCGGTGGAATCAGTTGCCATCCTTTATTGTACTTTATATCATCCTGTTTTGGAACTGTTTCACTTAAGAGATAGTGTTGATACGCTTTGAAGCTGTGAACATAACCCTCATCCGCCCACTCATAAAAAGTAGCAATGATGTCTTGGGTATTATCTTCTTCCGCAATGAAGAAACTGAAACGAAGTTCTAAAATCGTAACCAAAACTCTCTTTCAGTGACTTTCACCCTTTATGGATAATATCTGGCTAGAACTGGGAGTATTATCCCTCTTACAATTTGAAAAAAAAAAGCTTTGTCTTCCACGGTAAAAGAACATATTTAGTGCTCTTAAATATTGAGTTTTGTCGTTTCCTGCACGTAAAAGAAAATAAGCACAATACTCTTTGATGGTGCAGACGTCCCACTTCTTCACGAAAGAAATGGAAGCAGTGTCCTTACATACAAGTTAACCCCACTCTTCCACGCCTCAAGAAGAATTACAACAATGTTAAACTGTGTGTAGTTATTAACTGTATCGGTCATTTTCAGTTTTTGTATATTATGTTGAACACCTTTTTCAACTCTGTAAAATTAACTAAGAGACGGAACCTGAGAATTCAACGTCCATTTTCGATAGTAGATTCTTAAGAGATCTCCTTAAAAAACACAAGTTTAAAATGCCGTGTTTAGGAATTCAGACCATGGCCAACTGCTCGGTAGTCCAGCATGATACCAACTGGG